TACTTTATAGTATGTTCATTCTACTCACCGGGGTTTATGCCTAGGGTCAGACTTGGATACATGTGTAGGTTTGTGTCAGCTATGCTTGCTAATGGATATATTTAGACTAATTAAGTTCATTGGCAGAACAATTGAATGGGGGGGGGGAGGAAGGTATGAAGGGCAACCATGGATGCCAGGGAAAAAGGGGGGGGAAGGGGGGACATAGCAGAGGGTGGGGGATGGGGAATCAGGGATGGCAAGACAAAGGGCAAGGTATGCAGGACGTAAGAATTGGAAAATTATTTCCTGAGAACATATATGTGGATGTACTTGATTGAGACAATGCACAGTGTATTTTGGATGGAAAATTCATTTGTGTGTTGTGATGGTGTAAAGTCAATTAATAAAAAATAAAAAAAAATAAATCCAAAAAAAAAATTGATATTATGTGGCTCATCTGGAAATACTATTTAAATAATGGAAGTGAATATTAATCTAATTTAAATGTTCTATAACTATTTAGAAAAACTGAAAAGGTGTGTACATTCTGGGGGGAAACTATCAAATAACATAATCTAATAATCAGATAATCTAATTTACATGGGTAATGAATCAAATAATATAGCATCAATATTCATAAAGTAAATAAATGCAAGGAGCAGGAACATAGAAACAAATGAAATACTAATGGCTCTTAATCATCTGAAAAGATGCTCAACCTCTCTAACGGAAATGCAAAATTAAAAAAAATAATTATTTATTCATTTATTTATTTGACCAGAGAGAGAGAGAGAGAGAAAGAGAGAAAGTGAGAAAGCAAGCCACCAGGTCTGGGATTTGAACCATAGTCAGCCACATGAAAATCCAGCACCCTCAACCACGCCACCTGCCAGTCCCTAGAAATGCAAATTAAAACCACAACTGCCAATCTAATAGTGAAAGATGTACAGATCAAAAAGTCTAGTAAACATATTACCCCTAAAGGTGGAATATAAGCTAGCATTAAACCTCTATGGAGGGTGCACCTCTAGAAAGCACACAAGCAAGATCTGTATACTGTACCAATGTCTTTCCTTTTTCTCTCATTTTTATTTTATATGAATCTTTTATGAATCCCTTATACCGTTTTAGAAACAAAACAGAGTTGCCAAAAACAACCCCAAAAGTTTCCCTTATAGTGCCCAGTGTACTATAATGGATACAAATCAAAAAGGAGGGAGAGAAAAGGAGGGTGCGAAGGTAGGCTGGAGAAAGGGAGGAACAGATATAGAGAGAAGGATAGAGATAGGGAAGGAAGGAAAGAGGAATTATGAAAATAGGGGAAAAGATAAACAAGGGAAGGTGGCAGAGGGAGAAATAAAATAGACTGGGTAGAAAGATAATTAGAGAATGAGATACTACAGATAACAAAAAGAGTTATGGCTTCAAAGAATTTAAATGGGTAAGGAAAATAGAGCAATACAATAAGCAAAATTAAGTATGGATATAAAATCTAATTTTAGCTTCCCAAGTTAACAAATGTTAACCATTGTAGCAACTTACATTTTCCAAATATAATACATCCCAGTATATCCTATCCAACATGCTCTTCTGATATGACACTGACATTCTTCCCAAGTAGTAGGGTCTATGTCCCCACCCCAAAGCTGGCAGAACTCTGTAATCACTGATTAATATAGCAGAAATGAGACTATGTGACTTCTGAAAGTTGGTCATAAAATGCCATGTACTTTTGCATTGTCCTTTTGGGATGCTTGCTCTTGCACTCTAAGTCACCACATTGAGGAAGCCCAGGTCATATGGATCAGCCAGAATTGTAGGTATTTTGGCCAAAAGCCAGTCTCAACCTCAGCCTTCAAGATGATCCCACTGCCAGACTGCAAATGCACAAGAGATCTGGAGCAGGAACCATGAGTTGAGCCCAGTCCACTTGCAGTCATGAGAGAGAATAACAAGTTGACTCTTGTTATTTTAAACTGCTCAATTTTAGGTAAATTGTTAATATAGCAATAGATATGATCCAGCAGTTTTTTCTATGTGTATGATATATAAACTTTTAAAATAAAATCATACTGTTTTGAAACCGTAAGTGATGTGACAATATTTATCCATAATGGGACTTCTGGACTATTGTAATGTGCTATTTCTTGATCTGGGTGCTGATTACACTGGCAGTATTCACTTTGTAAAATTTATCATGCTATATACACTTAAGATTTGTGAACTCTTCAATAAAAGATTTAATTCAGAGGAAAAGTTTAGTAAAACAATAGTGTATGTGTACACAGAGATAGTCATGTAAATAGTGATTCTTATATATGCATATATGATAAAACAGTTCATAGTCCAAAAATCAATGATTATATCCAAAGTAGTAGGACTATCAATAATTTTACTTTTCTTCAGTTTGTTTCAAAGGTTTTTATAACAAACATCTATGCTGTAATCCTTAACCTTTACTCAGTTATAAAAACTTTTAACTCCAATATTAAACAAAAGCTATGTAGTACAAAACATATGAAAATGAATAAATCGTGATCAAATCCCACCTTAAAATAAAAATTTCAACCATAACTTACATAAAATAGCCATGTAGCAATTCTATTTCCTGTTCCCAGCTCTTTGAAAGCATCTGGCTCATCTTTCTGTGAATAAAACACAGCAAGCTCAATGGCCTAAAACTTAGTAATACAAATATTCTAGTGGCAACCAAACACTGGTAATATGCTGAAGATTATGTGAAAAACAACACAAAAAGTTTTCCTTATAGTATCCAGTGCACTAGATATACCAGGCACTCAAATGTTTGATTGTTGATTCAGTTTCTAATCTAAATACTTTTGAAAAAGCCGTTGGGAGGGAAAAAAATAAACTGTTAGCTTAAACAATGAGAGCCAGTATCTGCAGATACTAACTACAGATTAACACCTCTAATTTCAAAAACACAGGACAGGAGAACCACCTGGGTAAAAACTACCTTCAGATTTTGAAATCATGACCTCATTTACTGCTATTAACCCTGTTATTTCTTTTGTAGTCAGCACTTTAATCGGGTTTGAGAGTATATATCTATATTTTTTTTTTTTTTTTTTTTTTTTGGTGGGGTGTGTGCATGGTGGTGGTGAGTTTGCCTTCTGGAATATTCTTTACTTTCTTCCAGGCTCACCACTGCATTTAAAAGTATTTTGGGCCAGCCCCAAGGTCTGGTGGTTAAGGGTACCAGGTTCCACATGGCTGGCTACATGGTTTGAATCCCGGCTACAGCGGCTTAAAAAACAGCTGGGTATGCATGCATGCTTGCCTCAAATCCAAACAGAATGAAGAAGGGATTGAGGTGTGACCATGCCCCTAAAGGAGGGTACTTCCTCCCTCCCTCCCTGTCTCTGAAGAATGAACATACACTCTGATAAGAAATTAAAAAAAAAAAAAAAAGCTATCTTGGGTACCTAGGTGTGTTTTTTACTAACTAAAAAGGCTTCACAGGCTATCTATTCCACCATGTTTCCACAAATCCCAAATATGCTATAAATTTTTAATACTAAAAGAACAGAACACACATGTTGACAAAAATTATCTCTTAATTAAACTCTACTCAGGCTCCTCTGAATTCTCTTCTCAACTAGGCACTGACTTGTGGTTTTCTGGGTTTGTCTCTGCATTGTCCAGTTTTAGCAAGAATCTTGGGAAGTTACTTTGGCCCAAATCCCCATTAATATCTAACCAGGTTCCTTACCTGCCACTGTCTCCCAAGTGGTATCTAATCACCCTGCTCTGACTTTAGTAAGAATCCTCTGTCACTTAAGCCAGAATTGCCCCTTACCTCTTAGTAGTTTTCCATCTACTGATCCTCACTCCTGCTCCTTCACTATAAATTCTGACTCTTCTTTGTTGTATTTGGGGTTGAACCTAGTATCTTGGCCAAACTCCACTGCAATGGTCCCTCTACCAATTTTCCTTTAAATATCAATAAAAACCACCTGACTGTCTTTAGAAAGTGTCATGAATAATTTTTTCTTTAACAATGTGGTATCTAAACTTCAAGGGACTTCTTATGTTCTTTTTCTTTTTTTCTTTCAACACTTACCCGTGCAAAATCAAAATGGGGTTCATACTGTCCTCCAACTCCATAATTTGCTACCTAAAGGAAAGAAACAAAGCACAAATAAAGAACTATTGAAATTACACTAAAAAAGTATGAAGCCCATTTCAGCCTCTTATATATCATGGTTAGGTACTTCTAGAGAAATGAAAAGAAAGTATTTAAAATCAATAAAAGATCCTAAGAAAACAGAAATTTAAAAAATTAAAGAGAAATACAAGGTGCTATTGTATTTTAGAATCTTCATAAATACACTTTTAACAAATGTTTAAGGGAAAAGTTGTTCTTTATTTAAACTAATATTTTGAGATTTCTATTTATTTTCACTAAACATTTTCCCTTTGGAATTTAAGTTAAAAAATGTTTTCCAAAGCCTCAAATGCTTGTGAACTCCTGATGTATCAGGTTGTTAGGAAAGTCATAATGTATTTTTCTCTGCAAAAATGTGCCATGACTCTCTAGACAACCCAACACTTTCATAAAATCTCCTTAAATTATTTTTTCCCGTTGTAAGGTAAAAAAGGCCAAGAAGTTAACACAACTCAATTATTCCTGCT